GAATTAGTGTGTAAATGAATAACCACATTTGTTTAGAACATTTGTATTTCACTGCATGATTTAAACATTTCTGCATAATAAAAAAATATATACTATAGTTATTAGTCCCCTACCGGTGAAACCGGAGGGGACTATAGGTTTCCTCTGAGTCTGTCCGTCCGTCTGTCTGTCTGTCTGTCCCTCTGTCTGGTTGTCAGTCTGTCCCACTTGGTTTTCCGCACTTTTCCCCTAAACGCCTGCAGATATTGAGCTGATTTTTGGTAGGTGAGTGTATCTTGATGAGTTACAGATCAAGTTTGCATTTCGTTCCGCTTCATTGATTTTTGACGGAATTACGGCCTTTTCAATTTTTAGGGGTTTTCCGCAATTTTCTTCTAAATACTTGTAGATATTGAGCTGATTTTTGGTATGTGGCTTTACCTTGATTAGTTATAGATCAAGTTTGCATTTCGTCCCGCTTCATTCATTTTTGACAGAATTATAGCATTTTCAATTCTTAACAGGAACCAGATTACACTTGCCGGTAGGGGACTAGTATTGCTAATGCAATACTCTCAGAATGCTTGTTATGGTAGTAAAACAGAATGTTTAAACCGTCAAGTACCCGTGGGGTAAGATTGATACGAACTTTTTGTAAGACTTCTGCCTTTAAAAATAGAAAAACAATCGAATTTGAAATTAATATAACATACATTTGTTACCTGTTAGATAGCCAAATTAAACACGATTTCTTATACTATATTCCAAATACGAATATAAACATTTTTTTTTGCTCGTAAATATTTTAAAGAACCGTTAAGCATATACATGTATTAAGGTAGTAAACTAAACAGTGATTGAAATATACCACAGATTAAAATGTGAGAAAACGAGGAAAATGAAACCAGCGGTTTTAGATATTATCGTGTTTCAAAAAAAAATCAATGCAAAAAGGTAAAAGAATCAGTAGATGACGTCATAATATTTGACCTTTGACCTCTAAATATGACCTAGACCTTTATTGTACATAAAGAATGGAGAATTATTATACAGTGCACATGTCCAAATATATACATAATTAACTGTCTCTACAGTTAATTAATCAAAAGTTACTTGCATTTTATGATAGACGGTCAAATCGCATGTAAATGACACAATCACAATCTAATGTTTAGGCTACCGAATGACCACGATTTAGGATGTCTATTTTTTTAAACATAGGGCAAAAACATAACAGTTGAATTCGAGACAACGTACATGTAGAATATACTGGAGTTAACAAAGCAGAATTACAAGACTATCTTATGTTAGACTGTTCAAGAACATATATTTCATTGTTATCTGGGAACATACTAGAGGGCCTACATGTATCATATTTTGTGTTCTCAAAATGTGATAGAATCAATAAATAATAGGGATGTCAATTTTGTCAATAATTCATATTCGAATATTCAATGAAAGTATTCGAATATATTCGAATATTCGATAAAATAAATAAAATCTGTTTTATTTTAAATATGCGTGCATCATCCTACTCTCATGAAAGGTTTAGCGTAGGTATACTTATATTGGAAGTAAAATTGTATGAAGACTTTTGTAGGTGTACAATAAAATTCCTTTTGATATTTGTTAATGTTTGAAATAAATAATTGATTTAAATGTAGAAAGGTATAATTTTAACAAATGAAACGTGTATATATAGTAGCTCCAACTGAGGAAGCAGTCGTCTTACAAAAGGCAAGATAGTCGTAACGGTATAATGTTCAGATTTCAATACGTGTAATAAATTACAATTATCTGCCTAATAAGAGATATGATTTTAATCTTTGATACAATGTTTTTAAAATATAATCAAATATTTCCATAGACATTTTTCCTAGGTTATTAACTAATTTCCCGATAATGAATATAAAACTCAGGATTTTGTACAACCCGAGATAATCAAGTAATTTACACATTTATTCTGAAATTAAGCCCTTTACAATATTAATTACAGACTAATTCTATATCGGACATTCATTTAATGATCAATTAAATTTGTTTAGATAAGTATGTATACTCTTCACGTTTTAGACATTCGAAGAAGTTTTTTAATTTTGTTGTCCTCTGTTCTAGATCCGATCGTATTTAACTGATGAAAACTATGAAAGTACGTTTTGTATTGTACATAAAGCATAATTGTACAATTCATTAACACCTTATTCAAAACAAAATACACGTTATTTAGTAGATATAAGATAAGAAAGTAGTGATAGAAATCAGGCTATCAAAATTGATCGCTAGTGAATTAAACAGGGATAATTCCAAAATTTATTAATCACAATATGAAATCTGAAAAACACCGAATATTCGAATCTTAAATTCATATTCGAATATCAACTCATCGAATGAATATTCGAATGTTCGAATATTCGTTGCCATCCCTAATAAATAACTGCATGAAAAGAAAATAATAAAGATTGCAGACATAAAATGTTGTTTTATTATGTTTTAAAATCAACACAAGAGACAAATATCCCAGGTTTTCAGTCTTAACAATTCCAAAGAAATATAGCAACCATCATCTAGAACTAAAACTGATTCTACATCATTTTGTCAACAGTCTCACGTAAAAGAAGGAACTACGGAAAATGATACGGAAAGAGGTACTAAACTGGCATTTCCATTTACACTTTATTTGCCTCATAAAAACACATAGAAACACTATTATGAATTAATATAACATAGTACACATGGTTCATTGTTTGTTCCCTGTACAATGAGAAAAGGTGAGGATAACAAACCGTGATTAATCTCACAATCCCAGCTGTTCCCACTTCCCTTTCTAGCAAAGAACAAGGGCGAATAAGAAGCTAAAAAGTATCCGTGCCTGAACAAAACGAAAACTCAATCATGGAAAGAATTTCTGTGATATATCAGTTCTTACTTAAAATCTATGCAATATGCTACAGTCATACGAGTGTTGAAGTATTGATCATTAAAAACACTTGCACATAAAAAAGGTCAAAATTGATCATTTGCACATATTGTAACACATTTTTATATGAGTATGTCTTGACTCAATTTTTAGAAAAAGTATTTCTTCAAAGGAAATACGTCGGTAACAAAGACATGGAGCATGGAAGTACATTTTCGCATATGTATTTGAATTTATTAAGTCTGTCTTTTTCTTGATCCCAGGGACTGATTGAAATATTCTCATATTGAAATGATTTCAGGTAAGTAAACGCCGCCTTTAATATTTGTAGCGCTACACATTGCTTTAGTTAATGTTAATCTTTTTAAACATACTATGGTTTGCTCAGAATAAGATTTAAATATTAAAACATTGACTTTGGTTTGCTTAGTCAAGATTGAAATGTTTGTGGTACTTTATTTTGTTAAGGTGAGGTTGAAAATGCTTTTACAACAGTTACTGTGAATTTAGGTTAACGTTAGAATGTTTTTAGAACCGTGAAGTTAGATTCAGCTAGAAAGGTTTGTTAAATTACATTGCTCAGGATAGAATTAAAATGATTTGGACACTAGATTACTTTGGTTAAACTTGAAATGTTTGTAGCATTGTAGATTGCTGAAAAAGATTTTTTTTCAAGTTACTAAATACAATGTCTGTAGTATTGTAGGTACTTTAAAGTTAACGTTAAAATGTAACAAAGAAAATACTTTAAAATATTTTTGCATAGGTTAAGGTTAAACTATTTGTAGTGTCACAGGGTGAATTATAATTAATTAATTAATATTACTAATTATCATTCATATCATATTCATACATTTGTCTAAGGCATTATATTATTATAGTAATGAAGTCCGTTCTCACTATGGAATTTACTACGTTAATTCATTGCCTTATTCATTCATTTATACGGGTGAGTGGTCAGTGTGAGTGGTCAAACTGGTTTTATTCTGTCCCCTGCGCATTCGCGCCAATACTAATTCTCAAGACTCCAACCTAAGACTTTGGGGAGAGGAGACGCTCTCTCTCCCCAACACAACTTTATCTCACGATAATTGTGAACTTCAGTCTAGGAATTACGGTCACCCTTCCTTCTTTGTTATAAATTCCATAATCGTAGATTATATATTACATATAAACATCGAACCCAGCAGCCGTGTTGTGTTGTATTTTACCACATTTATAAGGCTGTGACACACTGTACAAAACTTTGGTTAAACATTATCAAATAGAATCATGTGAAATGTTCGTAGTACTGTAAAAGCATTGGTTAAACCTTATGGTATACTAGTACATTATCTGGCAGACTCCTATGAAATATTTGTAACGCTTCAGTTTCCTCGGGATAAGATTTCTTGGCTAAACGTTGAAATTTTTTTAGTAGACTCGTGAAATATTTGTAGAACTTTTGTTTACAAACGTTAGGGTAACTGTGAAGTTTGTTTTGTGATAATTTGAATAATCAGATAATTGCAAATTGATCGAATGTATATATGACTGTATGTGTAACTTAAATGTTTGTTAGAAGACTTACGAATGTTAACGTTGTTAATGTTAAAACCACGGGCCTCTAGATCGCTGTAATCTGAATGACAAACTGGGAGTATAAAAAGTACTTTTTTACGTTTATACGTACTGTAGATTACAAAGGTAAAAACGATGCACTATAGATCTCTTTTGTTAAGGTTGTAAATATGCATAACTGTATAGATAACTTTTAGATAATACGTATACGTACATGTAGTTTGATTGTGGATCTGTAAAATATTTTGTTTGATTGATATAGGATAAAATAATTGAAGGAATTGATAATGATATTTAGAAACATTTGTAGGACTGTTAGACATTTTGACTTATGATGCAGGGTTTAAATGAAAATGGAGATATCTTTCATTTGACATCCAGATGTTTTCTAATAAACAAGTCAGTATATTATTGAAGGAAAATAAAATGAAATTCAAATAGTATCGCTACATTAATTTACTTATGTAAATTATACACTACTTCTAAAAATATTGCAAACTTTCATCTAAAGAAAAAGGTAAAACCTCACGTTTCAATACCATGATATAAATTGAAACAGAAACACTCATTTGCTAGAAATACTCAGAAAGTTTTGATTTTTGGATGAATTTATGATCAGATTTGTAACGACAGATAATTCTTTATAGTTCTACTCTTCCTGTACAGAATGCCATTCTGCTCAGTACTGCAATAAACCCGACATTTTTAATCAATTTTTATATATTTTGTTTTTCTTGTTGCTATTGATTTTTTGTCCTCATTTATGTGTCATATTGTAATTTTTGAATTTACAGGGTGGTAGTAAATACAACAATTATAATATGACAACTCAATATGACATATGTTTAACAAATCATGCTCTTGTTGTGTTTATGTTATGCCCCCATAGGACTATGATTGGCAAATAAATAAACTTCTATTTTCTACATTGGTAGTAAAGGTCTGTTTGCATCATGTCGAATGCATGTCACTTCAATAAGCCAAGACAAACACCAATAATGGCGGCAGACAACAGGACCGCAACAAATGTCATGATGACGACACACAGCCAACGCTTCTTCTTGCTGTTTGGTTCTACCTGTGTAGAACACAATATAAACAACAATGTAAACAGTAGCAATTTATAAAAAAAAATCATATCGAAAGAGAGATTTATTCAGGAATGAGGTCCTTGTTAGTTTTCATATAAGATACGATATTAATTTCAATCTTAATTAGAATAGTTAATGTTTCATTACCATGGTGATGTCTATAGATGACGCTGTGGATCCATTTGACGAGGATTCGGACTTGCAATCTGTTCAGAATAGAGAAGAAAATCATTAGGATACCATGGAAACATGACAATTAAAGGACAGAGAATGATAAGTTTATTTGTATGTCTGGATGTATTGTTGCATTGTGGGAAACTAATCAGTAGGATGAATATTCGGTGATACTTTGTAGCAAGTTAATTTGTATTTCATTCACAAAGATTCAAGGTAACTGCTCTTTTCTTGCTGTCCTTTTTGTGATCAAACACTATGTTCTTCTTTGGGTTTAATATACCTTTTTATAAACATTCTAATAAGAAATGCAGTCAAAAATCACCATGAATTTTTATCCATGTAAGTCGAAAAAGTTCACACATAGCTCAAAAAAAAAAAAAAAAAAAAAAAAAAGAAAAAAGAAAAGAAAAAAACCTGGTTGAACTAATTATCACCGGGGAAAATAAGTCTTAAAACTTTCTGGCAACAATGAGACATAAAAATGCTAACGATGGAGTAGCACTTTATTATAAACTTAGATCGGTAGGGTGAATTCTGGAAATTCAAGAAATACATCCGAACAAACCGGAGCCTAGGACTTTACTGATTAACAGTGTTGCATCTAACATATAAATAATAAAATAAAGCACGATTCTGAGAATGAGTGACAGATGACTTAGATAGCATAACTCATGATACGTCGAGTAAATTCATTAAATTGACACATTTTGAGTTACATAGTAATTAGCATAATAAAAGTCTTTCATGGTGTTTAAAGTAATTACAGTTGCTTAAAAGTATTATTCTAAGTCAGCTAGAACATATCACTAAAATTGTTTGTATCAAAAATTACACCGTGATTATTCCCTCTCGCCTCGAAAAATGAAACGTCCTCCTCTCATGAATCACCGGGTATTGGCACGCGGAAGACGGGAAGCTTGGTACCAATTACGCTTGGTTGGTGTTGGTAGCGGGGGGAAAGGATGTTGTTTATCGATACGTCTAATTGAGTCGTATGGTCTTCGTTCGTTTGGTGTGTTCTGTAACACTGAAATTTGTTTGCGAAGAGTGGATGTTACGGTCTGAAGATTATCACATTTCCGTATTAGAACACTGACTTTTGTCTTAAGGGCTTTATTCTGAGTCTGTATCGCAACTGGTTGGTTGCTAAGGCCCGTTGATTTGAATAAATCACGCACGTCCTCAGAATCAAGGTCTGAAAAATGGTAACAATTACTAGCTGCAGTCTGTCATACTATTCCTTTATTCTTCTTGAATCCCCGTGCCGTTTGCTTACGGACTTGGTCAGCAGATAAAGTCTACTCTTCCGTTGTATCTCCGCAACAGCAACAGTCCTCGGACTATTTTTTTTTTTGCAACAGCCCGAGGAATGCACGTACCTGCAGCAGAATCGAATTTTACTGACCTGTTGTCAGACGATCCCACAGACGGGTTTCTCGTGTTTTTATTCAAGCAGGCCCGTCCTGACCCCTGGGCTTGATCCTTTTTGATCGACGAATTATCGATGGACGCCACTGGATATGTAATCCTTTGGGAGGAAAGGTAAGGTATTGTCGCGGAAGAGAAACAGGCTTTAGCATGATGGAAGTTTTCCGATCACGAAACTCTCCGAACGTGTAGCTGGACACGTGAAAAGGTGGTCGTGGAAGAAGGTTTTCTCGCACCTATAGCACCGTGGACTGGATCCAGATGTAGAGAAAATTCGGGCTGGTCCTAGTGTGAAAGGCAATGACACTGGAAAGATGTTGGGGAGGAGCGGTAAAATTCTTTTCTCCGGATTTGCATGGTGTTGTTGAGGATGAAGTTGATGACCGTCTAGGGGAAACTCGCGTAGCTGCTGGTACTCCGGATCAAACTGCTACACAATATATGCAGCAGTCCCGGGTGTTATACCCTTAGGATTTCTCCACCAAATTATCACCGGGGAAAATAAAAAACTTTCCGGCAACAATGAGACATAAAAATGCTAACGATGGAATAGTACTTTATTATAAGCCTAGGTCGGTAGGACGAATTCTGGAAATCCAAGAAATACATCCGAACAAACCGGAGCCTAGGACTTGACTGATTCTCAGTGTTGCATCATTGCATGTAACATATAAATAATAAAATAAAGCACGAATATGAGAATGAGTGACAGATGACTTGGAAAGAATAACTCATGATACGTTGAGTAAATTCATTAAATTGACACATTTTGAGTTATATAGCAATTAGCACAATTAAAGCCATTCATGGTGTTTAAAGTAATTACAGTTGCTTCAAAGTATGATTCTAAGTCAGCTTAACGAGGCCGAGTCTAATTATTTCTACCCTAGATATTTTGAAAAAAATTCTTGAATGAATTTTTACTATTATATTAATTGTTTTAAGATAAAATAATCGAATGTTTTCTATCCCGATTTCTTAGGGGGCCATCTCAAAAGTTGTCAAATTTTACTGTTGGACCCTATGGGAATTTGTTGGAAAAGCGCCAAATTATTACATATTTCTCATTTTTTTTGTATTTCTGCCCTAGAGATTTTCTTTTCAGTCAAATACATGAAAGTTATTGTAAAAAGTCACCAAAATTGTGAAATTTCAAAAAAAGTTGACCGTCTGGGTTGGTCTAGGAATTATTACAAAGTTTAATTTTTTCAATGCCCAATACCTCTAAATTTGCTATATTTCGGTGTACGTGTGTATATTTCGGCGCAGATGAATTATTTTCTCAAAAAAAATATATATCACTACAATTGTTTGTATCAAAAATTACACCGTGATATAATGATGAGTAGAGGTATTTCAGCACCCAGGTATGGTTAAAACACCAGTCGTAACTCTGTATTTTTTTTTGTTCTGATTATCTATATTTGTTTTGTACAGTGTTAAAGTACCTTGTATAAGTGACAGGTATATTAGTATTTTTTTTAGTAAGGAATGGGAGACTAAAGATGGTGCTAGTATTACAACACATTCTAAAATTTCAGTAGCACAATATTTCAATATTTGTTACCTAAAAAAAAAACAATGGGATAAATCATCATGTGAATTCTAGCACCCATTAATAAAGGTGTGTGTAAAATCTTCAAATTTCAAATATGATAGAATATAAAACATTAAATATCAAATATCGTGTTACAGAATAAAACAATAGCTGAAATTGATTTCTAACTACAGTATTGAATTATTTTCTCGCACATATCGAACATAGAACGTGATATTTTTTTTTTCAAAGAACATATGATTTGCCTGCGACAACGAAACCTATAATGATGATTGTACTGGTGGTAATTTCCATTTAGTTTCACTCGAATATGCTAAGTGTTATAAAGTGATAATACATTAATTTAAAGAGATGAAATCAACTATCCTGTTATTCTTTACGCATTATAAAGCTAATCATTAAAAAAATGAAAAACGGTTTACATTTTCAGCTGAAGTATATTTTCTTAAATAGACATAAAATAGAGATAAAATCTAAAGATCTTGTTGAATCTGAATTCTGAATACCTCTCTGCTGCAGTTAAAATATTCCGATAGTTGGATTTTTTTTTACCGGATGGTCACTAACTAAAGGTCTTTTGTTATTGTGATATTGTTATTTTCTAAAAGGTCACATATATTTGAAAAAAAATACCGACATCATTTGTAATGATTCAATAGATTTAATGTGGGTTGCCAGTTCATCAACATTGTCCAAAAGTAGGTAAAAGGTCAAAGTCTAACGTTTGAGTTATTTTTCAAAAGCCTCATGACAAGCTTTACATGTTCTAATTATCAAAATCCCTATACCTTCTACGGTTGAAAAGGTATAGAGTGTAATCGACTGACCAATAAGCTTTGAAAAATAATGCCACGTGTCGCTCTGCTTTGCAGGCAACCAGAAATTTCTCATAATTAATGCATCATGATTCAAGGTAAATAGCCTCCTTCTCAATGAGGAGTGTCGTTAAAGAATCCCCGTGATATGAAGCAGTGTTCATCTAAATAACTTGCCTCCCTCTCACTGAGGAGCTTCGTTAAAGAATCCCCGTCACATGAAGCAGTGTAATAACTCACCTTCTTCTTGTTGAGAAGTTTCGTTGTAGGCGTCAGCTGCCCAGGGCTGGACGGCTATTTTCTGATAAATGGTGAATAATAGATCCCGGACATCTGCTAAATCCCTAAAACAGATTAATAATCAACTGTCTTAAAATTGACAATTAAAAATTGTTCAGCGCTATGATGTTGAAATATTGCATTTACATTTCATGTCTAAAAGACAGTCTTATATTATTTTTTTTTTTATAATGTTAAGAAAATGAAATTTTATTTAATAAATTTAACATGATTACCTTTCAACAGCTACAAATTACATTATTTAACTTTGATGGTTTATTAAAGCATTCTTTTGAAATGTTGGATTACCATTTCCACAGAATTTTTTAAAATAAATGCTTGAATGTACGATTTATTTTTCCGCTATGGTTAATATAAAAACTTTGTAATCAAAAATCTCAGATAACTATGGCTATGTAATTATTGCTATGGAAACTTTAAACGTATCTACAGTTATATCATGTAATGATGTAAACTGTATACTACCGGGGTATTTTCCTTACTGGATAATTTTGCATGTGAATGTCTAGTTCGTGGCTCATCTATCACAATGGTAGGAAGATGTTTTCGTGAAGAACATATTTAGATCTTAAAAATTATCCTATTTAAATGCATTATTTCTGACCCTTTAATGCGGTAAGACGCTTTTGCTATGTTGTTTTTTTTCCTTCCTAGTGATCAAAGAAATGCGACACCCAATATAACACTGGGTGATTGGTGAGTCCATTTTTCTTGACTCTACCGGTGATTAGGAGATGTCAATATCACAGGAAAGACTTTTTGTTATCTAATCACAGAAGCTGTTTTTTATCTAATCTACAGAGCCGTGAAGCCTGATAAAGACTTTTCTATATTTATATGGCCTTGAATTACGGGACAAAAATAAAAATCTTGTTTAATTCTGACATTTAAAGACTTTGGTTTGATGGACTTATTTTTCTAATATATTAATTCGTTTTATACTTCCATGAACTTGATTTTTCTGTCTTGTTTCTTATCAATACTGTGATATGATGGACTTAATTTTCTAAGAAAAAAGGATAAAAATAACGAACAGTGATGAATCTCATAAATCCTAAAAACAACCCAAATAAAGGACAGGGCAAAAACAAGGACAGCTGGAACAGATGGATCAGGTGCCTTAAAGGAGTAAGCATCCCCTGTTGACCAGACATACCCACCGTATTAGTACTTTGATTTCAGGGATTTACTTTTCTGACTTCCTGTCTTTTAGTTCTCTGATTTGAGGGACTTACTTTTGTAACAGACTTCCTTTCTTTTAGTTCTCTGAAGGGACTTACTTTTGTAACTGACTTCCTTTTAGTTCTCTGATTTGAGAGACTTACTTTCGTAACTGACTTCCTTTTAGTTCTCTGATTTGAGAGACTTACTTTTGTAACTGACTTCCTATTAGTTCTCTGATTTGAGGGACTTACTTTTCTAACTGACTGATCTCCTCCGATTCTCTCTGTATGGAAACTTCTGAAATATTTATCTGGGATTTACATCCCAAAAATGGTTCGGATGTTCCCACATTGATCAGAAAGTGAACGCCTGAAAACAGAAAATTTAAAATCTCTATAAAAAATGAATCAAAACACGCAACAAATGCTTTCTACATAGCCAAAAAAAAATTCTACAGGAAATGTCATTGTCGTGTAACATGTATATGCTGACATTGCCTGTTGTTAATCTCTCAGAGAGATTAACAACAGGCAATGTCAGCATATACATGTTACACGACAGAGAGATTAACGACAGGCAATGTCAGCATATAACACAGCAGAGAGATTAACAACAGTCAATGTCAGCATATACCTCGGCAAAGAGATTAACATTAGGTAATGTCAGCATATAACAAGGCAGAGAGATTAACGACAGGCAATGTCAGCATATAACAAGGCAGAGAGATTAACAACAATATCAGCATTTAACACGACAGAGATTAAAGACAGGCAATGTCAGCATATATCACGGCGGAGCGTTAACGACAGGCAATATTAGCATATAACAAGGCAGAGAGATTAACAACAGACAACGGCAGCATATAACACGGCAGAGAGATTAACGACAGGCAATGTCAGCATAAAACAAGACAGAGAGACTCACAATCTCAAAGATTTATCAGATTTATAGGCTCTGTACAGTGTTGAGCTGACTTAAATCCAGATCCCTTTTTATCCTTTTTTAATTAGATGGAGTCCTTTTTCATTGGTAAACACTGATTGAAATGAACAGATTTTAGGACTGATTTTATTCCTGTCTATCTGGTACAATATTAACACAGAAGAATATGACTGTAGGGGAAACAATTCCTGTCTATCTGGTACAATATTAACACAGAACAATATGACTGTAGGGGAAACATTTCTTGTCTATCTGGTACAATATTAACACAGAAGAATATGATTGTAGGGGAAACAATTCCTGTCTATCTGGTACAATATTAACACAGAAGAATATGATTGTAGGGGAAACAATTCCTGTCTATCTGGTACAATATTAACACAGAACAATATGATTATAGGGGAAACAATTCCTGTCTATCTGGTACAATATTAACACAGAACAATATGATTGTAGGGGAAACAATTCCTGTCTATCTGGTACAATATTAACACAGAAGAATATGACTGTAGGGGAAACAATTCCTGTCTATCTGGTACAATATTAACACAGAAGAATATGATTGTAGGGGAAACAATTCCTGTCTATCTGGTACAATATTAACACAGAACAATATGATTGTAGGGGAAACATTTCCTGTCTATCTGGTACAATATTAACACAGAACAATATGATTGTAGGGGAAACAATTCCTGTCTATCTGGTACAATATTAACACAGAAGAATATGATTGTAGGGGAAACAATTCCTGTCTATCTGGTACAATATTAACACAGAAGAATATGACTGTAGGGGAAACAATTCCTGTCTATCTGGTACAATATTAACACAGAAGAATATGACTGTAGGGGAAACAATTCCTGTCTATCTGGTATATATTCAAAGAGTATGTTTTCTGTCTGTCTGGAACAATCATACACAGAACTACCTGAATGTAGAGAGAACATGTCCTGTATGTTTAGTACACAGAACTATCTGCTGTTAGAGGGAACGTGTTTTGTCTTGTTTAGTACACAGAACTATCTGTTAGAGGGAACGTGTTTTGTCTGTTTAGTACACAGAACTATCTGCTGTTAGAGAGAACATGTTCCGGCTGACTTCTACAATATACCCACATAGTTACCTAATTGTGGAGGAATATATTTTCTATCTGGTACGTTGTATACACAGACCTACCTGATTGTAGTGGGAACATTTTTTGGAGTCTCAGGGTTTGGAACAGCTCCACTTCTAAAAGCTCCAGGCTGGACGAGTACATGTTGTAGAGTCTCTCTAATTGCTTGGCATCATCTTCACAAACATTCTTTCTATTTGGAAAAAAAATTGAAACTTCAAACTTGATTAATATTGATCTTTCATCGATTACAATTTTAAAATGATAATATATACATCACTGTTAAATTTCTGTAATTGGCAATTTTACGTTCTTGTGAATAATTCAGATAAGCGAACACTTTCGATAAAAATGTGCTTCAAAGTAAATCCCACGGGCTTCGAAACACAATTAATCTTAAATCTATTATTTTTTCAATAACGTGCTCATAATCATAAAGATATCGGTTTGCATTTTTAAAATCAATGCAATCTAAGACGGAAACAATTGACTTTCGAAAACTAAGAATTGCATCTTTTTAGAATACTTTTTTACCATCATCAGTTATAATTTGGAATGAATTCTTATGCAATAGAAGTAAAAAAAAAAAAAAAATAAGTGGCTGCGTAATTTAAATCTAAATTAAAAAAAGAACACTGAAAAGAAAAAATACATGTATTTGTTTATGGAAGGCGGAGATGTAGTAAATCCAGACTTGTTTCGATCTTTTTTTTTAACCATTCATCATCTAAAAGTGTGTCTACTTTTATGAGGATGATTTAAATTAATTTTTTTTTTGTTGCCCTCTATAAAATGACCAAAGACAAGTTCAATCAATAACTTTACAAAATCTTACTATAGCTTTTAACATTAAGACACTGTTGTATATGGATCAAAGGATTGTAATTATTATTTAACACAAAAATATCTGATGCTGTACATCTTTATATTTAAAACTCTAAAACTCTGAAGTGAAGAAAGTTTTTAAAAAGTCGTTTTACTTATGTATTTGTTTATTTTTACTGTACAAGTGACAACATTCACATTTGTATTAGCTATTGACATTTCACTTTTGGATTGTGTACTTTTGTGTTCTCTTTTTTTTTTTTTTTAATATTCTTTCTGTTACTTTTATCTTTCCAAACTTTAATGTGTTATTACCAAGACAGAGGGCTTACACAGACAATATTGCCTCCTATTCAATCCATTTCCTTTTGGAAATACATATTGTTTATATCGGTTTTGCCGAATACCGATATCTGTCTTAAAGTTCAATAAAGTAAATTTTATAGAAACTATTATCACATTGACTTACTTCATATCAGAAATCCAGTGTGTTTAATTAAACCTGTTAAACGAGCCAACTGTATCAAGACTACGTTCAAATTTAATATTTCCAGACCTGACTTTTACAAGCAAAGATCTGACAAAGTTTGTTAATGCTTAAATATGGCGTACATCTTACAGAGACAAGTCATAATACACAGCTTATCGTCCAAACTAAAAAAGAAGTATATGTACATATAAATCATGCTTTACTGGTCTAACCCTTATAAAGTACTTGTAAGTGACTGTACGAGGGTTGTCCCAAAAAGTCGTAGACAATTTTTATAACCTTGTAAACATCCAACCAATACTAACCAAATTTTGCATAGCCACAATTTATTTATTGTTCCCTAAAATAGTGCATTCTTAGAAATATATCTTTAATGATAATAATATTATGACGTAATTTACGTTTGCTTTCCTTAAAATAGTGCATTCTTAGAAATATATCTTAAAATGATAATAATATTATGACGTAATTTACGTTTGCTTTCGTGCGCCGATGTACACTTACATGCTTTCTTCATTTTTACATTTTTTCTTGTTATTATCATGAAACTTGAAATTCATTATCATAAAATGTTGCTTTTTACAATGAAAAGAAAAGAAATTTAATCTAGCAAAGAAAAACTAAATTATTTTCCCTGTCTACGACATTTTGGGACAACCCTCATATTTTACAGATAGCAGTATCGTGTAATATACCAAGTCAAGTGCAACTTATGTCTTAAAAATAGTTCTAGGAAAAAACGACATTGCTATTTCTATGAAATAATGTGATGAGCACTGATTTGGAAAAGAAGAAAATGCACGATGATTTTGTCACACGCAATCAGCGGTAAGGTGACATGAGAATGGAATTAAGCATCAATACTCGGAAAGCAGAAACCTTCAATTGATTTTAAAAATGATTTTATTAACCTGCTTTGATTTATTTTCAGTTTGAAAATACTGATAAAATTGTGTTTTGTCGCTCGGTGCATTTAAGTCATTGATTGTACCTTTACTTTCTTTTAGAATAAAAATCAATGGTATACTTTAGGACAGTATCGATCAATAAAAATTATCTCTGATGCGTGAAATCTGAACTACTGTCACAGAGAAACAACCTTTTTTCAGTATTCGTAAACAATGACGTAACAATAATATGTCCTCTATTATCTAGATAAAAGTTCTTAGTTACTTCTTTAAGTTCCTTAAGGGGGGAAATGTGATATAAAATTATATTTTTAGACAAACGTTACATACAATTATAGCCGTAACAAATACAGATAAAAAACAGTATGTGTTTGTGGAACACTGATGCTCCCTATGACAGCTCTAGGCAAAGGTTCTCCCTATGACAGCTCAAGGCAAAGGTTAAAGTTTCTCAAATGTAGGTCAAACTCCAAGGTCAAGAGTTCAAAAATGTAAATACCCAAAGAAAGGTCTTGTCGCAAGCAATAGTCCTAGTACCAACCATTTAGAAAATATGGGCAAGGTTATTTTAATTTGTTCCAACAATAAGGTCATTCTCCAAGGTCAGTGTCATGAGGTCAAAAGTAATTGTACCAAAGGAAAAATATTGTCACAAGGAATGTGTATGTAAAATATGAGAGCTCTGGCAGCTACCGTTCTAAAGTTATAAGCAAGGTTAACGTATTTCAAACTAGGTCAAACTCCAAGGTCAAGGTCGAAAGGTAAAAAGTGTTGGTACCCAAAGAAAGGTCTGGACACTGGAAATACACTTGCGAAATAAAAAAAAGCCATAGCTCTAACCATTCCAAAGTTCAAGTTTGGTAAATTTTTTTGCAAAAGTAGGTAAATCTCCAAGGTTTAAGTCATGAGGTCAAAAATGTTGATATCCAAACAAAGGTCTTCACAAGGAATACACATGTGTCATATGAAAGTCCTTGCTCCCACTGTTCAAAAGGTATGGCTAAGGTTAAAGATTTTCAAAAGTAGATCAAACTTCAAGGTAAAGGTCAAAAGGTAAAACAATTTAGTATCCAAAGAAAGGTCTGGACAAAAGAAGTAAACTTGTGAAATATGAAAGCCGTAGCTCCAACCATTCAAAAGTTAAGGGCAAGGTTAAAGTTTGGTAAATTTTTGAAAAAGTAGGTCAAGATTAAGAGGTCAAAAATGTTGGTAGCCAAAAAAGGTCTGGATACATGAAATATACTTGTTAAATATGAAAGCCCTAGCTCCAACTATTTGGGTTAAAGTTTGTTAAATTTTGAAAAGGAGGTTTAACTCCAAGGTCAAGAGATTAAAAATGTTGGTAGCCAAAGAAGGGCCCTATCACAAGGAATACACATGGAAAACATGAAAGCTCTAGCAGCAACCATTCAAAAGTTATGGACATGGGTAAAGTTTTTGCGGACAAACAGATTAACAGACAGCCAGACGGACGGACAGCCCAAAAGCTATATGCCCCCGAATCTTCAAATTCGGGGCATAAAAAAAGCTTCAATCAGTTGCTTTAAAATGTGGTAAAGAAGAAAAGTATCAATAAATATAATTAAGGTTTGTCATTAAAATTTTTAATTATAGATGCCTAAGCCCCAAAAATGTGATGACCCCTTCTTACTTTCGCAATGCGGGAATCAATTTGTTCTTGTTCTGGCGTGCTATATCGAAGGCCCTCTGGCGGATATGTTTGAGTTCATCGCGTAGGTCCAATGTGTCCTGACTTCCGCCAAGGGCAACCGCCAGGGTACAGTACTGCGCAGTCTCGTGATTCAGATCGCTGACCAGCTACAAAATGTAGAAAAAGGGATTTAAGGAAAAAGTTGCTTTCTCATTTAAATAAAATAAGAAACACGTGGAAAATCACTGAATTGTTTAATATTATAAATAACATCCTAACCCCCACCCCCCCCCCACCCCCACTCCCCATTAGTTTTAGCCCAAGCAACTGTTATAAAACATGAGGAACCTTTGTGATTTCCAGTTTCAGGTTGTTGTCAATTTTCTCCGTCCTGCAGTCCTGCACCAAAGAAAATGACGTCAATTGCACTAGGTTAGCTCCCTTGTTGCTGATGCATCCTGCCACGGCCGAGGACATGGTCTGGTGAGCTCATTCTGACGGGTCACGTGGATATAAAATGGTGTTTGTTCAATATCACTATCATATGCTAAGATGCGGAATTTTGTGGCGGATTATTCCGAGTTTTATTGTAATTCACTATTTTTCGAGGAACAATGTTGAATGGACTGGTTGATATGAGCTATAAACATAAGTATAGCAAGACTGATTTGTTGCTTGTGCACGTATATATATAGTCAGTCGCAAACCACTCGAACCTGCGCACAATTGGGCTTCAACTCCTTTATAAATCAATGCCTCGTATCAGATGAAATCGTCTGCCTTATTAGCTTTGTCTTAATTTTCCTGTCTACTCCATTCCCTTAATTAAAGTTTTTTTTAGTAAATTTATTCCCCGGTGAGGGGCAAGTCATTAGATAATGGGACCGTCAGTTGATCTTACTGTTTACTCCACACTGAATTCTTCAATAATTCCGGGATGTTCAGTGGAATGACTTTTGCTGATTTCTCTGTTTTCTACAAATATTCCGAAAAATGTAGGAAGTTAAAAACAATCCCCCTGTAGATACAGTAAAATATTGAAAAAATTAAAAGAAACTCCTGTAGATACACAAGAGACTTGAGTTTATTTGTTTGACAAGGGTTAAATTTCTATGATTACCTATGATTTCTATGATTATCAGCGTTTTATAAAAGTACGAAACAGGTTTGTCCGCTAATCTAGAGGTCAGTGACCATTCTGTATCTGGATTGAGAGGCAGTTTTATGACGAATCATATTCTGTTATTTGCTCAATAAGCTTCTTATAACGATTGAATATAGTATTTAGAATACCTGTTATTTTTTAGCAATATGTCGAGCATTCATCTGCTAGTAATGAATTACTGAAAAACATTATACAGTTAAGAAAAAGTCTTATAGGGTAGAATAAAAAAAAAAACATGGTTTGAAAATGCAAAACCAATATTCATTCTATGGAGAAGTCAGAATTCTCTCTCTCTCTCTCTCTCTCTCTCTCTCTATATATATATATATATAAGAAGACAGAAACATAAGCTTAAGCGATTTCATGACATCTTCAGAGGCTTTACAATTGCAATACCTATATACAAATACACACACTCGCGCGCTCTTTCGATGTTTTTGTATATTCAGAATGCTTAGTTGTACTATCTTGTATCTCTTTAAAAAAACATCTTTTATTATTTTCTCCGAAGGGCTTATGTCGTCTGTATACGTATTTTTTCATTGTTGTCAGAATATAAAGCAATTGCCAGAAAGACCAAAACATTGGGAGAACACCCACAAACTTTTAATGCTTATGAGAGAGTTTCGAAAATTGAAAATTATTGACTTTTTTCACGATACTCTACTGATATCACGTCTGAAAGAAAGACTAAACATTAACGATAATTGGAACAGACATACAAGATTATATTTTAAAGAGCGATTCTCTGTTACCATTTATACTCTTGCCACGCATGGTCACCGATTTTTATGAAACTTTGTCCATTATAACATCAGAAACCTATTTCAAATAAAATTTGGTTGCTATGTGTCCTGGTTGCAATGGTGACAGCCGGAAAAATTCGAAAAATTGAGAATTTCAGCTACTTTGAATCTTTATTGAGTCTTAATAAAGACTAAGAAAATCAAACAAATCATTCTCATAAAAACAATTCACCTTGTCGCCATTCATGCTATAAGGAAACTATTAAGAATATATCTCTCAGTAAGTGGTAACCAATGCAGTTTTTAATACCGAGAAAATGCTGAAAAACACTCAATATTCACTTATGAAGGTATTACGTAATCAAACTCAATCAACAACACAAGAAAAACAATAAAAAGATTTGGCACTAAGTTATAAGGTATTGGCAATATTATTCTAAAGACAACGTTAATGGTTGTCATGGTAACACTGTAGCCATACAAAATTTGCTGCTAAGATTTGGTTAATGCTGCTATCTTGAGGAAAAGCATGGAAATTCAACACCGGCAATTATACATTGTTAGGACCTTGCAACACAGATAGCATTAGAAAAATTGCTACTTTGCAGTGCAACTATGGAAACAATGTACTAGTGGTTTAAAGTGATATTTTTTGCTGCTTCTTGAATTTTGTTTACCTTTTAATCAAGAAACATATTATTTGACTCACCTTGAATTGTACCTTTCTGATAGAACTAAAGTTGAATATCATAAATTGATAAAATAACACTGTTGCTATGATTACCAAGAAGGGAAAATATTCGCTTTTGTGAACTTTACAGAAATATTCAACCTTATACGGTAGCTTCTTGCATTCAGTTAGAGATTGAGTGGTAGTCAAAATTGAAAGTCGGGTTAGTTGTTCATGAATATCAATTATAAATGTTTTGGAAATCTACATTCAAGGGTATGTATCCAAGGAAACAAAATATTTTTCAGCTTTTTATACACATTTTATCTTATAATTTCCATAGCAACGCTTTATTTTACAAACTCAATTTGATTTTTTTTTAATGTGAAAATACGGACCACAATAATGCCTTTAAATTTTAGTGTTCCCAAAAATCCGGACAAAGATATAGGAATAACGCCAGCTCAGATGGGTAGAATAACCTTCCCGGTGACATAAAACAGGCCGGTCCTTGGACATTTTTAAAAGACATTCAAAGATACATTATTGCTCAACTTTGTAAGAAAAATTATTTTAAAGTCTATTCGGTTAAAGTTATTCATTTTACTTATATAAACATGACTAAAGTTGTTATTTTCAAAATTTCTGAAAAAAATTGTTTGTACAGTAAAACTCGGTTATAGCGAAGTTGTAGTGACCTGTGCATTTCGTTATATCCGTAATTCGTAAAATCCGTATAACGAATTCGTTAAAGTATATATAACGAATTCGCAATATGCATCTTTTCTTTTCCTTTAAGTATGACTACCAAATATGTTCTATGAGGTATTAAATACAAAATTTTACTTGGGGTACCAAATATTTCCGAGAAAATGGAATTCCAAATCTAAATACTTAAAATAAATAATTTCAGTTTAATTCTTTGAAGTTTAAGATATTGAAAATTTGTTATAAAAGATGTAATTTTCATTATTTTTAATCTCTATGGGACTGAAAAACAGTTCGCTATATCCGTAAATTCGTTATATCAGAGTTCGATATAACCGTAATATTTTCTTAGGATTTGTTAAGAATTTCGCCGGGGATTCCAAAAAACTTCGCTTTATCCGTGTTCGTACTAAACGAGTTTTACTGTATCCTGTTTTTAGTATTTTGTTAAAGAGATAGAAATGTTCTGGATAAAGCAGTGACTCCGTGTCACCTTGATAGAGTAACAGGGTTTACGTCGATCGAATCGCCATTTTTAATTCATTTTACTTCATAATTTGATATTTGATTGAAATACATCAATGGAACTCATCCACACAGAAGCCAACAATATCTTTTAACGACATGCACTCTAAGCGCCACTGAATCTGTGGTTGTCTGTGGTTGTGCTACGTACATATCTCTACATGCACTTTAAGCGCCACTGAATCTGTGGTTGTCTGTGGTTACGTACATATCTCTACATGCACTTTAAGCGCCACTGAATCTGTGGTTGTGTTACGTACATATCTCTAAGATTTTCAAGATCAAGAAAATTCGCCTGAAACACAGGAAAGTGTTCGATTGATTTACCAGTATCAATAAAGCCGTGAGATTAAGAGTAAAACACGCACATTTCTTATGCTTTACCAGTATCGGAATTTCTAATTGCCAAATTAAACACAATCTTCTATTGACTGCATTAATGAGGAAGACATTCGCTGAGATCAATAAACTGATATATTAGGTATCTTGAAGAAGATATTTTGACGTGTAATCATAATTATTGTTATTTATTTATTTTTACATTTTCTGAACTTTTATCAAATTTTTTCAAGTTCAATTGTTAATAGTTATGGCGATTTGTGCTCATTACGAAAGATATTCCTTATTTTAATGAATTTGTCAGCTAATTTGTCTTTTTATATTTTAATATAATTTATACCTCCATAGGCATTAGCAGAGGACTGACGATGGACACAGCGCCTCGAGTAGCTGCAGACAGAGCCAGGTGGAAACCCTTGCAGTCGCCTCCAGCACTTACGGCGCAGGGAGGATTGAGTGAGTGAAAAACATTATATATATATATATATATATATATATATATATATATATATATATATATATATATATATATATATATATATATATATATATATATATTAGGGATGTCAATTTTGTCAATAATTCATATTCGAATATTCAATGAAAGTATTCGAATATATTCGAATATTCGATAAAATAAATAAAATCTGTTTTATTTTAAATATGCGTGCATCATCCTACTCTCATGAAAGGTTTAGCGTAGGTATACTTATATTGGAAGTAAAATTGTATGAAGACTTTTGTAGGTGTACAATAAAATTCCTTTTGATATTTGTCAATGTTTGAAATAAATAATTGATTTAAATGTAGAAAGGTATAATTTTAACAAATGAAACGTGTATATATAGTAGCTCCAACTGAGGAAGCAGTCGTCTTACAAAAAGGCAAGATAGTCGTAACGGTATAATGTTCAGATTTCAATAAGTGTAATAAATTACAATTATCTGCCTAATAAGAGATATGATTTTAATCTTTGATACAATGTTTTTAAAATATAATCAAATATTTCCATAGACATTTTTCCTAGGTTATTAACTAATTTCCCGATAATGAATATAAAACTCAGGATTTTGTACAACCCGAGATAATCAAGTAATTTACACATTTATTCTGAAATTAAGCCCTTTACTATATTAATTACAGACTAATTCTATATCGGACATTCATTTAATGATCAATTAAATTTGTTTAGATAAGTATGTATACTCTTCACGTTTTAGACATTCGAAGAAGTTTTTTAATTTTGTTGTCCTCTGTTCTAGATCCGATCGTATTTAACTGATGAAAACTATGAAAGCACGTTTTGTATTATACATAAAGCATAATTGTACAATTCATTAACACCTTATTCAAAACAAAATACACGTTATTTAGTAGATATAAGATAAGAAAGTAGTGATAGAAATCAGGCTATCGAAATTGATCGCTAGTGAATTAAACAGGGATAATTCCAAAATTTATTAATCACAATATGAAATCTGAAAAACACCGAATATTCGAATCTTAAATTCATATTCGAATATCAACTCATCGAATGAATATTCGAATGTTCGAATATTCGTTGCCATCCCTAATATATATATATATATATATATATATATATATATATATATATATATATATATATATATATATATATATATATATATATATATATATATATATATTTGTAACTATATTTTGAAAAACGATTGAAAAATATTTTATATAATTTTAATGAGCTTAATCAAGCGGTTCAGTATTGCGTCACGCTATTTGTATTGGAAGATAGTACCAGAGAATTGACACTAGAGTTAATAAGGAAAATATTCCGAAGTAACAC